AAGAGGCTTTCAGATCCCTTGGAACTGGAGTTACGGACAGTTGTTAGCTGCCATGTGGGTGCTGGGATTTGAACCCAGGTCTTCTGCAAGAACAGTGTTCTTAACTGCTGAGCCATCTATCTAACCCCTATTTTTTTTAATGTGTATGAGTGTATTGCCTACATATATGTGAGAGCACCTGTGTCGTGCAATGCCACGGAGGTCAGAAGAGGGCTTCAGATTCTCCTGGAACTGGAGTTAAGGATGATTCATAGCCACCATGTGGGTGCTGGGAATCGAACCCAGGTCCTCTGCAAGAGCAGTCAGTGCTCTTAACTGCTGAGCCATCTCTCCAGCCCCTATTTATTTTTATTTTATGTGTATGAGTGTATTGCCTGTCTCATGCAATGCCTACAGAGGTCAGAAGAGGGCGTAGGATCCTCTGGAACTGGAGTTAGGACAGTTCTTAGCCACCATGTTAGGTGCTGGAAACCAAACCCAGGCCTTCTGCAAGAGCAGCCAGTGCTCTTAACGGATGAGCCATCTCCCTAGTTCTAAGTTGTTTTAATTCAACTCTTTAATTTTCCGACCTGGGTAGAAGTTTTTTTTTTTTTTTTTTTTTTTTTTAATTCTAGGTTGATGTTTTTCTGTCTGTTCTTTAAAAAATATTTTATTTATTATTATTTTTATTTTATGTGTATACGTGCATTGCCTGCATGTATGCAAGTACAATGTTCTTGGAGGTCAGAAGAGGGTGTTGGATCACCTGTAACTGGAGTTACAGATGATTGTTAGCTGCCATGTGGGTACTGGGAATTGAATCTGGGTCCTTTGCAAGAGCAGCCAGTGCTCTTAACTGTAGAGCCATCTCTCTAACCCCCTGATCAGTGGTTTTATCACAGCAATAGAAAGAAAACTAGGACACAGTGTTAGTGATGAAAGAGCTTTCATATCCACAGTTCCCGTCAGAGCTGAGATACCAATTGGACTTTCCAGCTGATTCTGGTTCTGTATATGGGGTTTTAATGGGAGCCTCTGATCTGCAAAAAGTGACCTCAGTACCACCAAACACTCACCACTAGCAGAAGAGTAGGGACCAAGAAGGACAAGAGATCCCATAGCAAAGCAGAGAACCAGAAAGCAGCCATGTTGACTCCACTTGCAAACTGGACATGCTTGGACTTAATGTGCCTCTCCCTGACTGTCAAGATGGAAAAAGAGCTAGACAGGAAAGTTATTCCAAAAAGAAAGTTGATAACAAGGTAATGTCCTTTTGGGCCCCTGAATAAGACAGGACATGAGGTAACAGTTTAAATAAAACTATGAATAGTAGCCTTCCTCCAAAATAATAATTTGTGATTAAAATGAGAGAAAGAAAGAAACAAGTGTTAAAGCAAGAAGTCCTACAGATATTTAAACTTGAAACAAGGAGAGGGTACATACTGGTACAGGATACTCTCTGAGACTTCTTCAGATGTCTGAGGTTGAGGGTAGTTGATGGTGGTAATGGACGCATTGAAACCAGAAAGCAACTTAAAGAGAAGATTGTCCACAAGAGCCAGAGCCAGGCCAGGGGAATGGTATGCCTGATTGTTGAACAGCGCTTTCACTACAGTATGGTTATTTATGTCTTCGAAAGAAACTGCCACCAAGTAGCGCCGGTCAAAGTCCTCAGGATCTTCTTTTGCCTTTTTAAGTATGAACTCCTCTACAGAACCTAAAAAGGAGCCAAACACCCCACAGCAAATAAGGATTGCCAAGGAAGCAGCACAATAGGTCCAGTGACACTGATAACACTCATTATCAGCTTCCCCAACCTGTTGTTTTTTCTGGGTGTCACATCACCAATCCCACCGCAGTCCAAAAGCTGACCTCCTTCTGCCCTGTCCAAGCTCCAAATCTCTCTAAGTTTCTTTGAATTCCTTCTACCTCTATCCTCCCTACCACCTCAATTCACTCTATCCTCATAATTTTTATCTGGACTATGTGGCCCCAAACAAAGTTCATCTATATAGTACTTCCAGAATTGGGTTGAAAGAACAGGTTTAATAATAGTGCATCCACCTACTGACTTGCAGTGAGTCTGACCTCCAGGCAGAGCTACGTTTCCACGTATTATAGAGCTCTCTTCTGTATGCTATAGTTTGGATGTGGTTTGATCCACAAAACTCATGTTAAAAGTCAATCCCTAGTGTAACAATGTTGAGAAGTGGTGAGAACTTTGATGTGATTGTGTGGTTTGGGGTGCTTCACCCTTTATTGTTGCCCTAGTAGAAGTGGGTTACTTCCCTTTGGAGGTGGTTAGTTATGGTAAGAGTTAGTTATTATGAAAGTGAGTCCAGGCTCCTCTTGCTTCCTATCCTACCATGAGACCCCTTCCACCCTTCCACCATGTTACTACACACACCATGAAGATCTCCCCAGAAGCTGATCAGATACCAGTATCATGCTCTTGAACTTCCCAGCTCTCAGGACCATAAGCCAGAATAAACTTCTATCCTTTAAAATTATCTTTTCTGTTGCACTCTGATAGAGCAAGAAAAAACTATTTAAGTAACTATTCAGAGTCTTGGCCTCCTGTCTTTAAGTTCCCACTATACCTGTACCAACTTAAGAGTTCCTTAACTTACAGATGTGCTTCTTGTTGTTTGGAATGTTCCTTTGGTTATCTTCGCTTTCTACTAGCCAATTACTACTCATATGGCAGGCTCTGACTGTGAGGCTTTCTCAGATCCTCCAAAGCTAGGATATGTCTACCATAGTCATTGCTATTAGTATTATAACTACTATCAGTTAGCCATAGACCTCTTGCTTAGAAGCTCCTTGAGGGATGGTACTAGTTCTGTTCACCACTGCATTTCCAGTATGTAGTATCACATCCCATAGATGACCTACCTATACTTCTAGAACCTTCAATGATAGAAAAGATCTTCAATGATTAAAAAAATAATAATAATGAAAAACAATGATGGAATCACAGACTGAATGCTCACTGGACACCAACTACACAAAGTATTCATCATAAAACTGTCCCAATGATACTATAAAACAGGTTTATTCCCATTTGGTCTTTGGAGAAACTGAAGTGTTGAGAATCAGAATGTGTTCATTCAGTTTTCTGTCACTATAACAAATATCTGAGATAATCAAGTTATGAAAATAAACTTATGAAAGCTTATTTTGACTTACATCTCAATTTCATAGTCAGTTGGCTCTGTTGCACTAGGGTCCTGGGGGAACAATATAAGAGGAGTGTGTGGTAGTGAAAACCATTCCCCTCATGGGTGGGGAATGGAAAAGGGCAAGGAAGAGTCTGGGATCTCACTAGCCCCTTCAAGCCTGCTCCCAATAACCTGAAGACCTTCCACTCTGTCCCTTTTCGTAAGGACTCCACACCTCTAGAGAGATACATATGGTCTCATCTCTAGCAACCCCCTTCCTGTTATTTGGAGTATAAATGTTGTTTTTCAGTTTCTTCAATCTGACTCTGTGGTCCAGAAAGACACAACTTCCCTGAAAAACAAAAACAAAAATAAAACAGGCTAACTTCATGTTCTACTCCCATGTGCCTGAGGCTTACCTTGAATCTTCAGAGGAATCTGTCCTGAAGCCACAAGCATATTTTCAAAATGATTTGAAAGTTGAGGATCCAAGTGGGATTTATCAGAAACAAAAAATGGAACAATAGTCTGACCGTATGTTTTTAAAGTCAGTTCCAATGGGACATTTTCCATGTTAAGTTCAAGTTGAAGAAAGTGAGACTTAACATAATGATCACCAAAGGCAATAGGACCTGTACAGGTAACATCAATTTCCAGTTGCGCTGAGAATATACTACCTTTTTCAGGAACATGGCATAGAATTGCTGGCAGAGAAGACTAAACTACAATTAAAAAAAGGAGGGAGGGGGAAGGGGGTATAAAGATGATTTTATGTATGAAATACACAAAAATTCAATATTTTTAAACTAAAAATTTTTTAATATTTTATGTATTATTATTATTTTTTATTTTATGTGTATGTGTGTATTGCCTGCATGTAGGTGAGTGCACCCGTGTCATGCAATGGAGGACAGAAGAGGCTATTGGATCCCCTGGAACTGGAGTTATGGACAGTTGTTAGCTGCCATATGGACGCTGGGATTCGAACCTAGGTCTTCTACAAGAACAGTCAGTGTTCTTAACTGCTGAGCCATCTCTCTGGCCCCAATAAATTTTTTTAAAGAAGGGAGGAACTGCATCAACATAGTGACAGAAGCTGCAAACACTTAGGTGGCCTCTGGCTCGAATCTACTTAAGGGACTTAAATCGAGTCCCTTATAGCTAACTTTTCAATTATGTTTAAAATGTGCTTCAAGTTAAAGTGATATATGCTTCAAGTTGAAATCATTATGTTTAATGGCAGAAAGTACAGATTAGAAAGAAACTGTAAGTGGAACCTAAGATACTGCAGGTACCAGATATAAATTATAGATTATTTTTTTCTCCTTCAAGAATTGCAAAAAGTTGAAGCTGATGAGAATGTGGAGAGAATACTATTGGTTGAGTTTTCATTTGGTGCAATGCTAAGAAAATTCTCTAGATGAACGTAACTTAATATTCACATAATCTTTAACCTAGGTGTTCCATTTCTAGTCAAATTACTTATATAATATGGAAGATCCATAAACATGTTCTGGTGTTAATGATGGTCTATATCAAAGTGGGCACGTATGTGCATTGAGGGCCAAAGAGCTGAAGCTGGGCCTGGAATGGGAGACCTTTGAGGTTAATGCTTGGCTTCTCTGGAGTGCTGATGAGTGAGGACATATCAGAGGGCCTTCAATACCAAGTTTGAGGGCTTATATATACAGTTCTTTGCTGGGAGATCCTGTGGGAAGTGGCCTCATGGTCAGGTTTAAATCAGGCATTCCAAATTCCTGGTCAAAAATATCAAGAAATCATTGGAGGTCTCTATGACACATTTGAGTTTTCCACACTTGACGTGATGGAGGCACCTTCTACCTTCAGCATTCTACAAGGACCTGCTATAACTCATCTCAGGGCAGACACAGAAATACTTCATGAGAAGAAGCAAGAGGTACCTCCAAAAGCAGACCATACACATTTGGCACCAGATAATGCCTTGTTAAGGACTATAAGGGACAGATGGCTGATCCAGACAACCTCCAGAAACTTCCTAGCTTCATGGATGACAGCTTCCCCTTTATTATGGGGTTCAAGATTATGAAACAAGAAAATCAGTCTCTAACCCACAACAATTTTATTTTACATTAATACTTATTGATAACTAAATAAAGATACTATAAAATGTACACCAATATCATTTTTCAATATTAAGAAACCATTATAGGTGGGATTAAAGTTTTGCACCACCTGTGTGTGTGTGTGTGTGTGTGTGTGTGTGTGTAATTTTTTATATAAGGTCTCTCTGTATAGCTCAGGCTAGTCCCAAACTTGCATTCTTTCTGCCTTAGCTTCCCAAGCGCTGGGATTGCTAGCATATTTATTTATTTATTTATTTATTGATTGATTGATTGATTGATCTTTTTGAGACAGGGTCTCCCTGTAGCCCCAGCTGTCCTGGAACTCACTATGTAGATCAGGCTGGCCTTGAACTCACAGAGATCCACCTGTCTCTGCCTCCCGAGTGCTGGGATTAAAGGCGTGAGCCACCATGTCCGGCTCTATTATTTTTATTTTTATGTGCATAAGGTATTGCCTGCATGTATGTAAGTGCACCCGTGTCATGCAATGCCCATGGAAATCAGAAGAGGGCACTGAATCCCTTTGGCTGTTAACCACCATGTGCATACTGGGAACTGAACCTGGGTCCTCTGCAAGAGCAATCCCTGCTCTTAATCGCTGTGCCATATCTCCAACCCATAACTGTATGTGGATATATATATATGTTCTTTCTGAGAACATATACACACATACACACATATACATATATATTTTTTTTCTTTGTTCTTTCTGAGACAGGGTTTCCCTGTAGCCCCAGCTGTCCTGGAACTCACTATGTAGACCAGACTTGCCTTGAACTCACAGAGATCCGCCTGTCTCTGCCTCCTGAGTGCTAGGATTAAAGGCATGTGCCACCATGTCCGGCTCTATTATTTTTATTTTTATGTACATAAGGTATTGCCTGCATGTATGTAAGTACACCCATGTCATGCAATGCCCATGGAAATCAGAAGAGGGCATTGAACCCCTTTGGCTGTTAGCTGAGAATTGAACCTGGGTCCTCTGCAAGAGCAATCCCTGCTCTTAACTGCTGCACCATGTCTCCAACCCATAAGTGTATGTGGATATATATATATATATATATATATATGGTCTTTGATATATATATGGTCGTTCTGAGAATATATGTACACACATATACATATATATTTTTTTTCCTTTGGTCTTTCTGAGACAGGGTCTCCCTATAGCCCCAGCTGACCTGGCACTATGTAGACCAGGCTGGCCTTGAACTCACAGAGATGCGCCAGCGTCTGACTCCCAAGTGTTGGGATTAAAGGCATTTATCACCACACCCAGCCTTGTAAGTCTATATTTTTTATTTATTTTATATTATTATTTTCTTGATCTTTTTGAGAAAGGGGCTCTCTGTAGCCCCAGCTGGCCTGGCACTATGTAGACCAGGCTGGCCTTGAACTTAGAGATTAAGGGTATTCATCACCACACCCAGCCTTATAAGTATATATTTTTTATTTATTTTATATTATTATTTTCTTGGTCTTTTTGAGACAGGATCTCCCTGTAGCCCCAGAAGGTCTGGCACTCACTATGTAGACCAGGCTCGCCTTGATCTCAGAGATTCTCCTTCCTCTCCCTCTTGAGTGCTGGGATTAAAAGTATGCACCACCTGGGTCATCTGGCCTCTTGATCAAGGAAGCTGAGGAGACCCCACCAGATGGACTTGAGCCAGTGTCCAGTCTATAAAGAGGAGGGTCAACACGGAGGAATCATTTCCTCCATGCTTCCAAGAGGAGCCAACAATGGTCGAGCAGGACCTTTGACTTATCCTCACATGGATGGAGCTGGTAAAAGAAAGGAGCCAGGGGCTCCTCCCAACCCCATGGGACCCCTGAGGAACAAATCCTCTAACAACCTCAAGAGTAAAAACAAATCAGTTTATCTGGTCCAATTGTATGTCCTTAAACACCCAAAAGGGAAGTATAACCAAAGATTAAAGGGCCCAACATAATTTCATAAGAGCATACATATACATAACTAAAAATTACTCGACAAACAACAAAGCCAGACAGACGATACCTTCAGTCAAGTTGTTGG